AAAAAATGGCATCACATAACTTATTCAATTGAAAAAAAACCCACTTTATAAAAACATAGGTTTTTCATATACTTGTATAAATAAGTTCAGCCTAGACAGGTCACAGGTTCTTGGTGGACCTACTGTATGTACATATAGTAAACAAACATGACACATCGCACAAAATTAAATAATGCTTATAAGTAGGTGTATTGAATTATTTGTATATGCAATATGAGTTCGCTAATTAGACAATGGAAGAATTTTCCCTGCATAAACAAGGCCATAGCGCAAATTACTTATAAAATCACAAATCAATCGTGATTATTTGATTAGGTTACAATATGGTATTATTTTTACTACAAATGTTTAGTGTTTGTCGAATAAATTTGATATTTAAGTTTAAGTGGTTGTACAAAACTACATACAACAAACTGCAGCTGCAGAATGTTTTGACACCGGTGCGATCGCCGGCTTTCGATCTCTCGCACACGGCATTGATCTAGATTCTAAGCCATGGTGCAGAGCGAGAGTTATTGTGAAACTGTCTTCTCCTTCTGCTAAGCTACAACTCCCGCAAAGGAGGACGCAGGACGCATGAAACAACGATTTCCCTCACGCTCTATCCGCCACAAAAAATACTACGGGTATTGAGGAGAAACGGCAAGCAAGGGTAACTTGCCAACTCGAACCAGACATACCCGTATGTTGCATGGCATTCCGAGAGCCTTAGAATCAGTCTACTACAGATGGGGTCCACTAGAAACGATTACTGAAATAAAAATTCAGACAATCGATTCTCCTAATTTACAAAACAATGACGGATGACCCTCACATTTGTACATCTGGGAACTTGACAGTTGTGTGGTGCTGGCAGAATATAATTTTTATCACCATCCTTATTCTTTTTACGGAGGTCGTAAGTGTTAAGTGACTGAAAATTTGACTTAGATCAGACAGCAAAGCTCTCAGGCCGACCATAAAACCTCGCTTGCAGAAGAGACGCAAGTCCAAATGTGGGTAGTCGCGTGCTGTTGATGATCTAGGTACTCATTCGCCAAACGATTTTGTCAAATTTTCTGGCCTTTATTGTACCTTTCTTCTTAAAGATACATAGTTCACTTTGTAACAATTGATTTTTCTGACATTTTAGCTGGAGTACTGGATCGTCGCCGCAACGCTCCTCGCTTCCAGTCAGCTATCGGCCGGCGAAGGGCGCGCACTCAAGCTCTGAGGCGGCAGAAACTTAACAGCCAAAGTTTGAGGAGTCATCTCCAACATTCACGACAAACCACTTCCGACTATGTCGAATAAGTCGTTGTATACTAGTCTCTAGAATGTTTTATAAGACTTCTTTATAATACCTATGTATAGATCCTAGGAAAATGCAATACTGTATATTTGAAAAAATTGATGAAAGAATCATTTAAATATATAATGATGAATTCCCGTTTCAAGCAAAACCAGTTTGAGCCTTTCTGCCAAAAAGTTGCACACAAATCGCTGTATAATTACGGCAACTGTCAACTTAATCAAACAATTTAAAAAAGTTGATAGTTGCTGCAATACGTTTCTTTGATACTGTTGATTATACAGCTAACACGAAACTTTAGTTTATCTGTGGAGGCGAGGTTGTGGGGCAAACATTAATTAATATAACATTAATTATACGCGCAATATTTTACCGTGGCCTCGTCCTGAAGCAGGAGAAAAATGGGGTGTTTTCAGTCAGCTAGTAGAGTCTAACACCCTCACTTGTTCCACTCAAGCAGAAGAAGTAGTTTAAAGATTTCCATATCTTCTATTATATAAAAATAAATCGCAAAATGTGTTGGTAAGCGCATAACTCAAAAACGGCTGGACCAATTTTGCTAATTCTTTTTTTGTTGTGTTTGTTATTGTCAGGAGAAAGTTCTTATCAAAGACAATATTAGAAAAGTAGAGGGGAAGATTAGGAAAAAGTGAACCTTTGATAGCGAGATAGTTGGACCCGTGCTAAGCGGGGGCGGGCCGCTAGTTACTTATAAAAATAAACTTGTATGTGATGTCCAATAGAAATGTATGCATCTAAGTAGCAAGTTGCCAGCTATTTCCTAGTAGTTGTCGCATAACTTGCTACACATATTGTGTAAAGCGCCTGAAATTAATGTATGGATTAATTTTGTTTTTAATGAGTAAATGATTTTTTTTTGTAACTTTTTTAAGAGAACACAATACATTATGTAGCACGGGAGCTAGCAACGTTTAAAAGGCAAGAATTTTAGGTCAGCTGATTTTGTGAATTGTGATTTACGGTCGCATATCAGAAATTCAACTGACCTGAAATTCTTTCTCTAAAACGTTGCTAGCTCTTATACTATATACAATATGCTGATGTAATTTTAGTTGGATTTCCTGATTGACTTAGTGATCGGTTACGTTATAAGTTTTAGGGACCCTATTTTAATATTAGTTAAAATTAAAATATTATGTGATTGTATCGATGACTGGTTAAAGAACATTTTGAAAATTGAGATTCATTTTAAGAAAACCGAGGTTTTTTATGTACTTAAATCATGTCAAGGGGAGTAACCATGATATTCAAAGGAAGATTGTTTTAATCTTACTTCAGTGTGGGTAAGAGACAGAGCTAGACAAGTTGTCTAGCTCTATCTCTTACTAACACTGAAGTAATGTCATGACTGTCATGGTTACCCCCCTGATCCCATTTGCAAGGACGAAACGTTTTTCAGACTATGTACTGAATCGTTAAATCATTTAGGTACTTAAGCATGTAATTAAAATAAAAAAAAAATTGAGGAAATGTGATTTTTATTATTTTTGTTGTTTTTTTGTATTATTCATGTCTTATAATGGCATTTAGTAGAAAAAGAAGAAAGAGAGAGAGAAAGATTTCCATATCCTTATATATAAATATGAATCGCAAAATGTGTTGGTAAGCGCATAACTCAAGAATGCCTGGACCAATTTTGCCAATTTTTTTTTTGTTGTTTTTATAATAGCCAAAAGAAGGCTCTTACCTAAGAAAATTTTCGAAAGGTTGAAGGGAAAAAGTGATCCTTTCTTTGTTTCCGAGATAGTCGGACGCGTGCGAAGCGGGGAGGACCGCTAGTAAAATTATATTTTTTCAAACTTAACACACCCAGACCAGGAGCTACAATTTGTGGATCACACAGTTGCTTCCGGCGAGAACTGAATACTATCGCAGCACTCAATAGCCTTGCCATTGCGCCAACCGTGCCAGTCATACTACTAATATGAGTTAGTGATATCGTTTGCTTTTCTACATCGCCAGGCGTTTTGTAACGTTTTTATTATGTGATAGGTTGGCAAACGAGCAGACGGATTACCTGATGGTAAGTAATCAGCGTCGCCTCTGGCGCAACACCCGCAACAACGTAGAAACTACCAATGCGTTGCCGACCTCTTGGAGGTAAGGGACTTGGAGATTTTGGAATTGGAAAGGAATTGGGGGAGGGGAAGGGGCCGGTAACCTCACTAACACCGTGGTATCACCCCGACCAATTCGTGCCGAAGCAGGACTCTCCCACAATAAATTAAGGTATGAATAAAAATAATAATAAAGTTTTGCTTCTTATAATTTACGAGGTAGCTGAGAATAAGTAAAAAAAAAACTACATCTATGTATCCCATGAAAAATAGAAATAGGGCCTAAAACAACGCCTTGGGGTACACTTTTTTCAAATGTAATTAAAATAACTTAACGTTGGTAAATAGCCCTTTAAAATGCCTATTTATTTTCTACACCCTTTGTAGATAAGGTGTAGCAAGAAGCTGGATATGTGAAACAAAAATAAATGATTATTTTAATAGGAGTCAGTATGGTTTTTGGCCAATAGCGAAAGACAGAACGAAAAAGGATAATTATTATTCATATTCAGATACGCCAAGGACTAGGCAATAACTGCAACTGTTTTAGCATAGGGTGAAAAAATGTCGACAAGAAAGGTTCACTGTTGTACACATATAAAACGTTTTTATCGTTTTTGAGTTTTATGGGGAACCAAATACAAAACAATAATTTTTGTTTTTTAACTATTAAGAATTTGACTAATTTCTTTAGGAGCTAAAAATATTTTATGGTTTTAGCATTTAGTAGTTCAAAAAAATTTTATCGGAGGAATCATAAATAAGGTAAAGGCTAATTATGTAGTTTTCTAGGTTAAAAAAAAATTTGACTTTCCAATAAGTAGAATGAAATATTAATAATATTTTTTTCATTTATTGATTTTACGATATAATTTTATTTTCTAAATGTTTCATTAAAAGTATTGATTTGACTGGTTGGAAACATCCGGTTAAAGTTCGAAGTCCAAATTTGAAACAAAAAATATTCAAAGTCTATTTCCCAATGAGTAATAATAAATTGATAAAATTCTAAACTTAATCAAATCATGACACGAGGTCTAAATGATAGGTAAATTGCTAAAAAACGTTTATTTGATAAGACTTTATTATTAGTAGCAAATACAATTACGTAAGCAAAACTAAAAATCACACAAAAAAAAATCGAAAAAATATGTGATCGATGGGAAATTTCTGGAAAACCTTATCGTGATTATTAAATTTGTTGTAGGGCCAGTAGTTTTCGAGAAAATCGCAGGAAACCTCAGGAACAAGGGGATTAAGGAGCAACGTAAATCTACAATGGAAAGTGATTTGATGTATCACTTAAGTCGGCATTTTATTAGTTTTATCTTGCTGTAGGTGTATACAATTTGCCCAAAAAATACACGATGATTACGATATATTCTAGGTCATTGAAGTTTATCAGCTGACGTTTCCGTAATAAGAAAACATTCTTCGCAACATCAAGTTTTAAAGTATACCATTCGATGCACAGTTTTTGCTAAAGCTTATCGCAAAAAACTGCATACAAGTGCATCTAATAGTTTAGGATTTATGAAAGAAAATGTGTAGGGACAAAATTGGGGATTATTTGATTGTGCAAAGATAATATGGCGTTATAAAGCAAACATTACTCGTAATCTTGATTCATATCAGTACAGACAAGTTGTTGACTGCTGATAAAACGTTTCATTTAGATGATACATTGGAACCTTTTCCGAGTTTACATTGTTTTCACCTCTTTGTAAACTATTTCCATTACACTAGAAAGAAAATATATTTAGGAACCGTTATTTCGAAAAAAGAATCAATTTAGAGCTGGTTTTTCAATAGTCAGATAAATGTTATCTAAGGAATAAAATTGTTGCTGTCACTGTCTTATACAAACATTCTGACGCGACAGCATCATAATTATTCCCCAGGTAACTTTTATCTAACCATTGACAAATCTGCCTTTAGAGGAATACAATGTTTAAAACCTTCTTAGTGTCCTTGGTTGTGGGTCAAATAATAGAATAGCCCGAAAAGGAACGGGGTGATTGTCAGTCAGGTAATACCTATACGAATCTGAGACTCCCTATCGCTATGTCCTGGCTGAGGGAAGTAATTTGATGATCTATCCTTCGAAGGAAAAATTGGTGTAATGTAGACTTTGACCTACACTAGGACTGTTGAAGATAAATATATTATTATTTTGGTTCTGAAGTTAACCTTTGTACCTACCTACCGTTATAAATGTGTAAACAGCTTGTTTTTAGCGATAAAGTTCGCTATCTCTTTCTGAAACTGTGTTTTGTTTCACTAATACATAAATATTTTGTTAAAATCGGATTGGTGGAATTGAATTTTCGGACGTCTAAAAATTAGAGTGAATACATTGCGTAGTGTAGTCGAGGCATACTATAGATACGTCATCTACCCCGGTCACCGGGGACCGGCGCGTGTGGAATCGGCGAGATATGTCGTGCGGTGTCCCACAGGGATCGGCCCTGGAACATCGGGTACAATTGGGTGTAACGCACCGACCTCCCGAGCGGCATCAGCATTGTTTGCTACGCTGACGACAAGCTGGTGCTGGTGAAACGCGACATGCGAACTTTTAGATTATTATAAAATTACTTAAAGTTCGCAGAGTAAGGTAATTTCTATAAACAATAATAAACAATTATCCTGGATGTGTATGAGCCTGCATGCTTTGCTTATAGGTATGTGCATTCGGGATCTCCCCGCGTCGATCGATGACTCTGTTATGGTGGCATTTGTTTGTTTCCACTCAGATGGTTCGGCATTTGATCTAGCGGGTTTAGGTATTATTTGTGTCACTAGTGTGAGTGAACAGGTTGCCTATGGGTAGAAATAGTTCCGTCGCAAGATGCATCGCGTACTATCAGGCGAGATATTTGAGCAAACAATGGTCTATTACAAATAATAATAAAAGAATTTGGTTGGTAGACCCGTCTGTCCAGCGTGGCGATTATAATTAATGCAGAGGGATATATTACTTATAAGGGATTATAAGAGTTTACTTCATTCTCCAGCAGCGATGATGATGAGAAGAAGAAGAAGTAGAAAAAGAAGAAGATGATGAAGAAGAAGGTGACGATGATGATGGTCATTTTGATTATAAGTAGACAGCGAATAGAAACTGCAGAAAAGTACTTAATAACTTTGTAGACAGGAAAAAATGTTTTTATATAATAATAGTCTGGCGCACCTCGTTTAGATAATGAGGTGGCCACCAATGAAAAAGTAGTAGTAGTAATAAAAAAAAAAAATCATTTAAGATGTTGAAAGTTAGATCCTGATCAAAAATAAGATTGATTCATAAAAGTATGTATATTAATTAATTTGGTAGGAATGTAGGTTCCTAATAATAATACTGTTATCGTATCGCATGACAGTGGGTACGCACAACAGCCAGACATAAATAGCTGATACTAGTCTGCAGAGCACAAGTCACGCCACAACTTCTGTGTGGTACCGGGAACGAAAACAAACGATATGAAGTATCTTTCCGTTATTTTACTGTTTACTTGCCTGGGATTCTCCGTTCAGGTAAGATAATTAAATTTCTATAACCCTCATTTCTTACAAAAAAAAAAATAATAACATTTACAATGTCCGTCATAAATAAAAATAGAAAAGAATATGTTCTATTTTTGAAATCAAACGGAAAACATTCCGGTGGTGGAACACACGTACTTACATTTTCAAATACGATGATTTGATTGGCTGTAACTTCATAGAAATGGGCGCGAAATTTAAAATTGGCTTGAGTTCTAAGGTAAGTAAGGAGGTTTTACTCGTATATCGTCGTGTTACCAAGAATGCAAATTGTTGAATACCTGACAAAATCCTGTTATATACTACATCATGATTTTGTCAAGTATTTCGCAATTTTTATTCTTACGGTTTCTACGGTAAAGTCGATATTGTGACTGAATGTTTTGGAGACCATTCTGATGGGTAAGAGGGAGTTTATTGGTTATGGGTTTTTGTTATAAACTTTTTTAATTTGGAATTTTCTCTTTTTAAATTTACATTGAACATTTTATACATTCGTTGGAATGTTTTGTCACAAATCCACTTCACCATCTCTCTCTTAATTACCGAATTATATTTTTTTTATTTGTATTTCTTTGTGGTGTTTTAAAAAGAGAGAAGAACTAAAGAACAAAAATGAAATATTTTTTGTTTTTTTTTTTTATGGTTGTGAGTTTGTTGCCAATTATTGACGTAAGGTTTTATTCAATTGGTTACTCGAGCACCTAAGTACTTAAATTGTACTTGCACTTTATGATCTGCATGACAACAAAACCTTGAATTTGTTTTAGTTACTATGCTAAGCGTTAAAACGTATAGAATAGAATAGAATTCTTTATTTGCAATGAATGTAGGTACAAATTATTTTGTGTTACACAGTTTAAAGGTTTCTTGTACATTCTACCTTAATTGGCATGCAAATTAACGTAATATGTCCAATTTGATTTTTACAATTATTTAAGTCTTAAAATGGAGACGGAACATAATTTTTCCCAATGTGATGAATGATCATAAATTTTCTTACCTATCTACATTGTCAGCCTTATAAGGGCCCATCCAATTGCTGAGTATTGTGTGTAACTAATTATTAGGAATAATAAGTCCAGGTGTTTTCTTTCACTGGTTTCTGGGGTGTCTGCTGTTTTATTCACAGAAAACCACGAAAAAAGATGACATAGGACTTCAAAACGGGTATAGCCATGATTTTAAACTGACTAAAGTTTAAGGGTCTTTTAGATGACAAATAATTTTTGATGATGCATTTGAATAATATCATGAAAATTTGCAAGGATTTCCAAGAATGGCTCTGTGCGCATGTTATTATCTGATTGTAAAAAATTGCACTCGGCAGTGCGTCCGCACGGCACACGAACTGCCGTGTCGTGGATAAATTCCTTCTTCAGTTGTGACATTGGTTACTAAAGAAAGGGTACTTTTATTAATTTTTTACTTGCGACTTCAATCCCTTTTTTTTTTTGTTTTTTATTTTGGGTTTCTTGTTGGAAAGTCCTCATGGAGACCCACCGCCCGCACCGGGGAAGGGCGAAGGGTACTGTCAGACTCTAATTGACTAAAAACCAACCCAACGTTCCTCCAATTACCCATGTGTCGGAGGGGCGGGTATCGCCGAAGTATTCGTCGCAACCCTCCGACGGTTATTGGCCCGCCATATGGTTAGGCGGGCCCCGTCATCCACTGCGGCCGCCACCCCGACCGCAGGACTTCACTATGAGGCGCGCGCGGAACACGGCGCCGCCGCCTCGAGACCTGCTGCTGATCGGACGACTAGACGCCCTGAGTCTGTCGTCCGCAGGCCGACCCTATCCTACCCTACCTTTGTACGGCATTACCTACTTTACCCTACCCTAAGTTCTTCTAAGCCAAATTTTAGAAGCGCAATACCTATAACCTCTCATGATTTAGCGTTTTAATGGCGTATTTTAAGAAAAAAGAGTGCACTCTTGCAAAAACAATAGAGTGGCGTTATAGACAACGCGCAACGCTACAATTCTTTTCCAGCCGAGGTTGCGGGTGGGAAAGAAACGGATTGGTTTTTAGTCAGTAAGACTCTGAAACTACCTTTTGTGAAACACTTGATGGTTTTTCTCCGTCCAAGAAAAAAAGCCCCTTTTCCACTACCCTGTTAGTGATCGTTCGATGATTGCGTAGGAGCGAAACGTCACATTAAGTCCCGCGCCGGTGACCGTGACGCACGCGCCCTGGTTGACACTGGATTCTAAATTATTGTTTTAATTAGTTCACTCTTGTATACTTTCACTGACAATCGTGTGAGAATGTATTATATCATATGTATAATGTTGAAAATTAAATAACGACCATTTATCTCAAATAAGTGCCTATGCACGTGCATGGGTGCATGAATTATCAGTATAACAATATACATATAATACACTAGCTTCTCTAACGCGGTTTCACCCGCTGCTCGGCTCCATTTGATCGTAGCGTGATGTTTTATAGCCTATAGGACTCAGGAACATTGTAGCTATCTATGAGTGAAAGAATTTTGGAAATCCGACCAGCGGTTCCAAAGATTACTCCTACATACAAACATACAAACTTACAAATTTTACCTCTCTATAATATTAGTATAGATATACATATAATGATTATTTTGTTTTTGCATTTCTGCATAATTCAGCATAATTATTCTGTTATCTCATCCAACTAGCTCCAAGGCATGTGCAAGATAAGTTACCCTTGATTTATCCGTAAGAAAACACTTGACAATTATAAAGTCAAAGTCAGAAGTCATATAATTAATTTCAAATAGACCTCAGCACTTTTGACGTCAAACAAAAATTAATATCAAACAGTTTGTGGGTCAGTCAGTCGGTCTCTCTTTTAGTGAAGCTATTTGCAAGTTGCAAAGTGTAGATTCCAATGGAATAGAACGAGCAAGAAACTCCGTGGTTACTCTTTTTCAATCAGATCTTAGAGAATATAGGTTTTTGTGCTCTATTAATTAAGCATCAATTTATAAAAGGGTTGATTAATTAAAGACTGTAATGACTGTACTGTTTCTTTCTCAGCGTGTTTTTTTCTATGTAGTTACATAAAACTCCAAGTATTATATTTTTGAGTCGGGCCCATTGTAGTGCCTTGAGGAACACCCAACATTTTAAGACTAAAATGTAGAGTCTTGTGAACAGTTTTATCAGGCGAAGAATAAATCTATTGAGTGCGTGTATTTGAAATTAAGTCCATTTTTTTAAATGGAAGTTTTAGCAATTTTGATAAAGGTATAGATAATTACGTGCCATCATGATGACAAATGATTAAATGAAATTGACATGCATTGTTACTTCACTCATAAATGATATGAATCTTTTATCAATGAATGTGTGTCGAACAGCTATTTTACCGTCACGCTTTTTATCTCCGAAGGAGTAGGCAGAACACGTTGTAGCATACAATGCACTGCACACCCTCTTTTGCCCAGAAATATCAAGATTCTCATAAAAGGGGAGGATATTGCCATACACAATAACCCTAGTTCTCTCATTCAAAAAAGAAATTTCAGTTTATAAAATTATGTAATCACACCTGAATTCTATACTATACTAATATACTATATGTATAGTTATACTATATTATAATTCTTTTCTATACTATACTAATATTCTATACTAATATTATAACGAGATAAAATTTGTAAGTTTGTATGTAGGGGGTGATCTTTGGAACCGCTGGTCAAATTGCCAAAATTCTTTCACTGATAGATAGCTACAATGTTCCTGAGTGCTAAAGGCTATATAACATTACGCTACGATCAAATGTAGCCGAGCAGCGGGTGAAACCGCGTGAGAGTAGCTAGTTATTCATATTTTTTAGATTGTTCAAGAGGAATCAGTGTACTCGGGACATTACAAACATTTTTATGGATTTAGAGCAAATTCATATAGCGAAGCATCTATGGTTATGCAAATTAAACCTGTATTAGAGATTACAGCTCAATTATTTGAATACTAAAATAAAATAAAAATGTTGCTTTAAAATTTTGTTCTAAGAACTTTATTACCTAAAATGATTTTTTTTGTGAGAGGAAATATGGCTTTCTACCTGGTTGGGACTCTTACTGAATTAAAACCACCTCTTCCTTCTCCTGGTCGGGGTACATTTTTATGCTTGCATACTCCATCTTCATATTCTTGAAATTATATTCTAGTCAGGAGTATTTTATCAACACGTGTTGATTACGTGCCGACATAATAGCCAATATACATAGTAACTTAATACTTAAATAGAAACCGTACTTCTGTAAGTCATTGACCCTTTGATCGACTGACCGTTGGATCGATGCTAATCCTAACGCATATAGTACTGTCTCTTTCTCTCATCTCACTCTAATGACACTTGATATAGGTACTAAAACTAACATTTTATATTATATAATTATATTGTCTGTCTCTTTCCTATCCCATAAAAAAGGAAAAGGATGGACATACTTTTATTTACTAGTTTCGTTTTATGAATTCAATAATGGCGTAGATGTATTAGCGAGCCAATTTTAAATGTAATGTGTGTATACGTAATTGGATGTTTTGCGTGATCAATTTGTTATTAGAAACAGCGCGGCAGCGTTTGTGTAAGTATTGTTTACATTTTATTAGATTGTTTAGATTTGTTAAGCTATTGTTTTTACGACATAAAATACAAACTAAGCATTTTTTATATCTACGAAAACGAAATTGCTAGCATATTTTTGTTCTCTTTTTACCCAAAATTGTGTAGTTCCGTTTTCATAAGGAGATTATTTAAGACTCCTTTACCATGATACTATGCGTATTTTATAGAATGAACCAGTCAATTATTCCTCTAACAAATTGCATCCATCAGGCGATATACTTATATAGAATACTACCTATTCTAGTAGAATGTAAATAGGTCTTAAATAAAAATACGGAAGTATAAGCAACACAATTAACAAAAAAATGTAAATCAAGTTTCTCACCTGATGTCACGGAAATTCTACCAATTACCGCTACTAATGTAAATGACCTAAAGATTGTTCGATATATAAACAAAGCTGACCTAGGAAGACGTTCTAGGTCAGAGCGTTCAGAGCTTGGTTGAGTCAGTGCGGCACGCAAGCGCCGTCGCGGGCAGTAGCGAGCGAGGCTCCCTTCGAAGCGGATGCCTCGGCTGAAACTCTCAGCCCTAACAATTGTTTACAAATTAGAAATCAGCTGTTTCTCCGTAATTAAATAATGAAGATAACGAGTGTACTAATATTCTTATGTCTAGTGATAAATTCATTTGAGGTAAAGTGATTTATTCGGATTGAATTAAATTATTTATTTCATATGTGATCTCTTTGTTGTGTTTACTTGTGTTATAATTATGCTTGATATATTGACCGGTGTTTTGTTGTGCATTACGATTGCATTTATCGTTAAATGTGGACAAAGAATTGTGAATATTGGATTTATTATTTGTTTGGTTTCCCGTTCTTGACTTGGATTTATGTATTTTGTCTGCTACGTATTTAAAAGTAGGAAGTAAATATGTATTAAAATCAAGAGGAAAATCGAATACGACGATGGACTTGAATTTGTTTTTATCGAGTTCTTTGACATTCGATTTTATTCGTGTTTCTTTTGTATCGACACCGTTAAGTATTATTTGTGATAATTGCTGTTTATTAATTTATCAAACTACTATTCGTATGAGAGAGAAAAACAAGTTATTTATCGTCCAGAATAATATATATGTATGTACTTTTTTATATCACATATTACCTACATTGTAAAACTTTTATAACGAGAAATTAACATTTTTGTAAGCACAAATCTAATAAAAATTAGTGGTTTTTGGTTGCTATTTCATTATTGTCATTTGTATAGTATCTGATCAAATGACGAATATTTATTTATTATAAATATTGATAAATAAACTTGTTCATATTCTAAGTCCTTCTTAGACCATTGGATTTAATGATCACCATGACGATGATTGAGATGCTCTCAATGAATAAACCATGGAAGGAGGATATATACTACAATGTTTTTGAAGTTGAGAGCGTTTGATAAAACGTTCAAGTCAAAAATCGTAGGAACTACCTATTCAGTATGATTTTGAAAAAAAGTTTAGAAAAAGCAGTTTCGAAACAAAAGTTAAGAAGAGAAACCACGTACTTATATCAACGATCACTAAATCTGTTTACTTATACAAAACCTATTTCGAAAACGTTATGAATTAAGTTTTCATTAAAAATTATTATCGGAATGTGTCTAGCCAAGGAAAAATTTGATTGATTTATATTAATTCATCCAACCCCAAGTGAACCTGTTTGCGCACCTATTGTTTTTCTTTCGTGTCTCGTATTACTACCATTAAAAGGCTAATTAATATGTTACCATATTGACGAAAAATGCACAGAATTTTATTAATCGTATACAGTACAACTATTCAGGATGCTGTTGGTTCTACTGCGATTTTATAGCGCTTCTGGGATGTTCACCTAAGCCGAGGTTGATGGTTATCATATCATCACCCGAGCGTACGGCGCGTAGCGTTCTGCGCGCGCCTCAAAGAGCCAATAGACCACCACAGACGGGGCCCTATAGGGCTGATGTTCGGGTTGCGCGAAAAGCGCAATGAGTCACCGCGGCCTCGGCCCAGAGCACGAAAAGAGACGGGGGGTTTTTAGTCAGTAAGAGTCTGACACTCCCTCCCGCTCAACCCTGGATGGGAGCAGTCATTAGAAGATAATATCTGCTAATGATTGGTGACCGGAATATTATTCCCGTCACAAAAAAAAAATCACACGAAAACGGTGTACTTAACTTGGTGATAGATAAGATCCCCATGATGGTTTAGGTTAAGACTTTAACTAACAGCATATGGATAATGACATGAATCTGTCATTTTTAGTATTACGTTTTACAATTTATGAACTAATCTAAAATATTTTCCATAGAAATCCACCCCCCAAGATGACCACTACGTAGGAGCTGTTGTGGAGTACACAGTTACTGGGAATGTTGAGACTAACTTATTGAACTACGTTAATCTTATTAAGACAGCAGCAGATCAGGTTTGTACTATTTTTATCTCATTTACATTATGTAAATATTATTTATTTATGGTAAAAATCGGAAGACAGAACTGAACTAAGTTGGATAACAGGATCAAATTTAAGTAAGGCTAGCAAACCCGACGAATTCTGTTACACCACCAGATGATGATGATACAGACGGGGCCCAATAGGGCTAATGTTCAGCCGGGGTTGCGGGGTAAGCGCAATGAGCCACCGCGATCTCGGCCCAGAGCAGGAGAAGGAACGGGGGAGTTTTTAGTCAGTAAGAGTCTGACACTCCCTCCCGCCCGGGAGAAGTCATTGGATGATTTCCCCTTACAAAAAAAAAATGATGATGATGAGAGATGTATTTCAAAAAGTTGGCGCTGTATGTTAAAAAAGACGATGTAAGAGAGCAAAACCATTTTCCAGGGAGCTGATATTGTGGTGTTCCCAGAGCTGACGCTCACAAATGGCTCGACCACATTCGGAGTACCAATATATGGGAATCTAGTACAGCATCCCGTCCCAGCTCTGAGCCCTGATTTATATGATGAGGTTCGTATAAAATTTATTTTACATTCTGTATTTCGTGAAAGAATTTTTTAGATGAACTACTGTGATTACTAATTGAATACTTACGTTGTAATACTTATTCGTCGTGTGAGTGAGGTTACCAGAAGCCCATCCTCTATCGTCAAATCCCCTATCCGTGAATCCCTAACTACACATAAGAGGCCGGCAACGCAATCGTAGTAACTCCTTTGGTACTGCGATTGCCCATGGGCGGCGCCAGTTGCCTACCATCAGGTAATTAGTTAAAAAAAACGTACTTTGCGTGACCTACAAATTGTTATTCACGGTCTAGGTGTGATGTGTATGGGAAATTGGATGTTTGTAAACGCACTAAGACACAGGAGAAAAACGTAGTGTGGGGCAACGTTCTTTTGGATTCGATTAACGATCATTTTTTATTTCTAGATTTTACTTTAAAGCACCCTAGAATTTATGTGTTTTGACAAGTATTATTAATATTAGATATTTATTTATTATTTGACCTTATTTTTTTCTTTTTGTAACTATTGATTTGTTTTATATTGTAAGTTATGCATTATATTTTTCTTAATTAGTTTATTGGCGTTTTTGTACTCACTGTAACCCAGTATGTGTCCGGTTTAATTAAACATATAAATAAATATAACGTTTAAAAATATTAACCTATGTTTTCAACTCTCTAAAATTAGATATTTTTGAAACTATTTCCAGTTCATGGTGACGATATCGAACGCAGCGCTACAAAATGAAATCTACGTGGTGATAAACGGTCGTGAGCTGTTGGACTGCACGGTGCAGCAGCCTGCAGGCGAAGACTGTCCGGAGGCGAAGCAGTACATCTTCAACACCAACGTTGCCTTCGACAGGACTGGCAAAGTCATCAATAGGTACAACTATCTATCTACTATTACGTATTTATTTTTTCTTGACAATGGAAGTGTAGCTGCATTGCAACAAGTCGAAAAAGGCCTGATTAGATAACTTTGGAAGGACCTGTTTTATTTTATTTTATATGATAGGACAGCAAACTTTCCACGTGTTACCTGATGGTAAGCAATCAGCGCCACCCATGGACACCCGCAACAACGCAGAAGTTACGAGTGCGTTGCCGACCTTCAGGGGATTAGGGATTTGGAGATTTTGGTATTTGGGGGGAGCCGGGCTGCTCTTCCGGTAACCTCACTCACATGGCGAACAAACAACAATATTATTCACATTTTTATTTACTAAACGGACTTAAAACTTGTCGTGCTCTTAAGGGGAACACACTAAGACACTACCAGCAACACAGTATTACAATATTTACCAAATGTTAGAGAATTCTATAGTCTAGAAAAATAGAATTCTAACGGAGATATATGTCTCCGTTATTTTATGTATGTTATTATATAAATAACACTTCCTCTTCAATCACTGCATCTATTAGAAAAACCGCATCAAATCCGTTGAGTATTTTAAATTAAATTTTGAAGCATAACAGGGATATAGGGACCGAGAAAGCGACATTGTTTTATACTACGAACTAAAATAGTCGTACTTTTATTCCAGATTCCGTAAGATCAATTTGTTCGGTGAACATGCTCACACGCCCGCATTGCGTCCAGACTTAGGTGTGTTCGAGACAGACTTCGGTGTCGTATTCGGCCACTTCATCTGCTTTGACCTGATGTTCCAAGTGCCAGCTGTGCAGGTCGTGCAAAAAAGTCGGGTCAAGGACATCATATTCCCCACTATGTGGTTCTCTGAGCTTCCATACTTGACAGGTTGGTAAACTATTTTTTATTTTCGGAAATGGATCTCTTCTTTGTTTTTTCTCCGGTCCTGGCCGGCGGAGGTGACGGTTTCTTAGTTTCTCTGGCTCTCCGCAACATGGCCTCCCAATAGGTTCTAACAAGCACACAGGTCGCCCGTAGGTAAGCGATTAATACCACCACAGGAGATCTGTAATACCATAGGAGTATACAGATACTACATAATTTCTTATGTGGCTTTGTGTCTGGTTTTACATTACTATGTCAATGTAAAACAATGTTTCCATTATAAAAATTGATTCTACGTCAATTACTGTTGCTAAGCTTGAGGAACTGGGCTACCGTTTTCTTTTTCTGCGAAGCGTTTCTCCTAAAGAAAGAGGTGGAGATTCTCAGGGAATTCTCACAAATACCGGCGTGAAACAACCCACAACGTTGTGTTTCGCCGTGTGAGTGAGGTTACCGGAGGAAAGACGATCTCACGGGTCGGCGGTTGGCTTGCAAATGAAGCTTCCACCCGACCAGAACCAGACCTGAGCGTGTAGTGCGTAGCGTTCCTCGTGCACCTCAAATAACCTTATAGACTACTACAGATGGGGCCTAATAGGGTCGATGTTTAGCCAGGGTTGCGAATGAAGCGCAATAAAGTATTGCGGTCTTGGCCTGTAGCAGAAGTAACGGGGGGTATTTAGTCAGTAAGGGTCTGAAACTCCCTTCGTCATGTCCTAGGCGAGAGAAAGTATTCGATGAATTTCTCTCCTCAGAAATTCAATTATTGTACTAAGCAAGAAGTTTATGCAAAATCCTTTTGTATAGTGAACTAACAGACTGCCCCTGCTTCGGGTACCCGACTACCCTGGTGTCAGTCATTTGTTTTGCAAGCGAACGGCCACGGCGTCGAAAGGGTTGTTAATTACCACTATTCCTCTTCACTTTTCTAAAGATTTCTCCCGTAAGACAAAAACCCAACATTACATTTAGCTTTTCATTTTTTTTTAATATTTAAAACCGTATGAACCTTCTATCTATATTCTCTAACATGACAATACACTTGTAGCTTCTGTGACCGAGGCCGCCCCTGCTTCGCACGGGTACCCGACTACCCTGGTGTCAGTCATTTGTTTTGCACGGCGTCGAAAGGGTTAATTACCGCTATTCCTCTTTACTTTTCTAAAGTTTTCTCCCGTAAGAACCTTGTCCTTATAATAACTAACATAACAAAAAAAGAATTAGCAAAATTGGTCTAGGCGTTGTTGAGTTATGCGCTTACCAACACATTTTGCGATTCATTTTTATATAATAAGAAAAATGGTGGTAGTGTATATAAGTATAAGTGAATAGAAGTGTAACCTCTTTTCTGGTTTTGTTTCAGCTGTTCAAATACAGGAGGCATACGCCTATTCCTTGAACGTTAACTTCTTAGGAGCTGGAGCCAACAATGTCAGGTTTGGTAGTGCAGGTACGAGACATTAGTCATTATTTTATACCTATGGAAATTTTATTATCATCATCAGCCTATAAGTACCCACTGCTGAGCAAAGGCCTCTTCTCACTTGGATAATGTTTGGCAAGGCTGATTGGTAATTTCAAAATTTTTATTAAGTTCAGGTTTCCTCACGATATTTTTCTTCACCGTTGTCAGTGGCGTCTAAATAATCATAGAATGTACATATAACTCGGAAAAAGTCACATTGGTACTTGCCAGATTTCGAATCCTCATGAGAAGCGGGCGTCTTAACCTCCGCGCCACCACGACACACGACATAATTATGGAAATTTTATGTAGTTTGAAAACATTTTTCATTAACACAATTGACATTGAATGTTTATAAATATTCTTTACTTATCAAGCTGTTACAACTAAATGCTATTATCGGTATTTTACATATCTGTTTTAGGTTCCGGAATATATTCAGGTAAGGCTGGTGCTCTAATCAGTATCATGCCTGGTTTGCCCACAACTAAAGTGCTCGTGGCCAAAGTACCCAAGGTGCCTGGAAGGGTAAGCATTTTATAAGTTAATTTTTATATTATTCTAGGCCATCTATTCATGTTACCAGAAAGAAAGGGTAAGAAAGAGCGAGAGAGAAGGAAAGAGAGAGCGAGGGGGAAAAAAAGAGAGAGAGACGAAGACGAGGAGACAGAGAGAGGGAAAGAGTGGCGAGGCGAGATAGAGTAGAGACGGGGATAGATAGAGGAAGAGAAACGAGGAGAGATAGATAGTAAGAGAAGCTAGGGGTGGTAGAGCCAGAGAGAGGAGGAGATAGAGAGAGAGAAAAAGAGATGATGAGAGAGAGTAAGTGAGCGGGTGGGGGATAGAAAGAGAGATAGAGAGAGGAAGAAAGGGGGGGGGGGGCAAAATAAAGAAAGTAATGGAGAGAGATAAAGTAGGAAAAGGAAAAAAGGAAGATTTTAATGTATTTGGTTGATGCCACTTTAAACATTGATCTTTATTTGAAAACTAACAATAAGTAATATTCTGTCATTCCAGGTCACTGAACCGTACCCAGGTCCAATATACGATGACCCAGCAAACCTCGACAACTTAAAACTAATCACAGATCCTTCCCTTCCATCTCACGTCAGTAGACTGCTGGAGCTAGGCCCTCAAGAGTTCACCTTGGTGGACAAAGACGTGACCTGCACCTTCAAGGTCACACTCGCCCAGAGAGAAGGCAATACAGTAAGTTGACCTCGACCTTGACCTTCTTTTTATTTAGCGGGCTCTTTAGCGCATGATTTAGTTCATGTCGTAGTAGCATAGTGCATATTGCATGATGCACTTTCTAATTTATTTCAGCATTGTAATAAGGTAGTTTCCAACTAGTCAAATTCAATACTTTTATCCAAATGTCAAAAACAATATTTTTCTATGAAGCACTGAGTTTAGTATTTTTGCGTCAAATAGCTTATTTATTTGTTAAAAATTAGCTAAAAATATCTAAAGTTTAGTATATGGTTCGATCGAAGAATAAAAGTATACTTATATTTCAATATTTTATTGTATTGAAATGTCATATTAATTTATTTTTGACCTAGGAAACTACCCAATTATAATGTTTTTTTAATATTGATAATTATTATGTAGTTATTTATTATTTGCCTTTACTAACCGCACCGCTCCGTATTTTTAACGTATTCATTTGAAATCGACATTTAATATTTGCACGTTTTCCATGTCCTTCGGTATTATTTTATTTTAGACATTTATAAATAGTGTGATTTTATTTTCTTGCTTTATTATGTAGTGCATGATTAAGGTAAGTTACTTCTATTGATTATTTTTTTATTTGTATTGCTTTGGCATATTTTTGGTATCATTAATTTTTATTGTTCTTTCTGTCTATATGATGAGTTTTTTACCACTACCATTATTTGATATGTTCAATTATTTGTTTCATTATTTGAACACCATCGGTGTCATCATCACTTTATTCAATATTCAACTAGCTTGTACCCGTAGCTTCCCCTATGTGTTAACCACTTATCTACATACTGAATTTTAACCAAATCGGTCCCGCCTTTTTGGCGTGAAAGAATTACAAACGTACATTGTTACAAACTTTCACATCTATAATATTAGTAGGATTTGTATAACTGATTCTAAGGAAATTCTGCATGTATCATGTAATGTTTAATAACGTCTTGATAATACAACAATTCTTACATATTCTGTCAATTCATTGCCATACTTGCTCTGTATTTTTCTAATAATATCTATTAGACCACAGAAGGCACAAACAAATATCAAAACTTTAACTTTATGCGTGTCAGTCTGTCCGTCTGTCCCCTAGTCAAGCTATTTGCTCGTTCCAAAGTGTACATTCCCATGGAGAAGAACGACCAAGAGACACCATGGTTACTCTTTTTCAATCAGTTTCACAATCCATTTCTTTGTTACATCATTTCTATCTTATCTATATCATTCCATAAAAATAAGATCACATTTTTAATAACTTGTTTGTCCCGTTTCCAGCCAGTGTTGTACCGAGCCTTCGTGCAAGATGGTACCAATACATATGCGAAGCGAGAAGTAGGTGTCGCCGCTTGTCTTCTTGTCGCGTGCAAAACTGAAGACGTCAAGTCTTGCCCTTACAGGTACTATCATTTCTTCATTAAGAGGCAATTTCGATTTGGGGCTGATTTTTCAATGATGATTAGTTAAAAGGTTACCTTTTTTTTGGTGAGGGGAAAATCATCGAATGACTTTTCCTGCCCAGGGCCGGGCGGGAGGGAGTGTCAGACTCTTACTGACTAAAAACCCCCCTGTTCCTTCTTCTGCTCTGGGTCAAGGTCGCGGTGCCTCATTGCGCTTACCCCGCAACCCCGGCTGAACATCAACCCTATGGGGCCCCGTCTGTGGTGGTCTATTGGCTGTTTGAGGCGCGCGCGGAACACTACGCGCCCTACGCTCGGGTCTGGTTCTGGTCGGGCGGCGAGCTACCTTTACTCGCCGTCCGCAGACCCGCGCTTACGGTGGCCGGAGATCATCTCTCAGATAAAAGGTTACCTGGGGAATAATTATGATGCTGTCGCGTCAGAATGTTTGTATAAGACAGTGACAGCAACAGTTTTATTCCTCAGATAACATTTATCTGACTGTTGTAAAATCACCCCTAAAGAATATGAACTTGTATGGTGCTTTGATCATTCTAAGTTTGAAATATTTCGATGGGGCTTCGTATTTAGTTTTTGTTATTGGCAGTAAGATTCTACATGATTTTAAGATGATTAATTATATATTTTATATGGCTTATTATTACAGGTTTAACAAACAAGAAGAGGTTACAATAGAAAAACTAGAAATTGAAATGAGAACACATCAAAACACTTACAACGATACCCTTCAATGTGATAACATCGAATATTTCCCAGTAACAGTTAGATATAACAAATTCCCACTCAGCCCGAAGAACTTTACATACACGGTAAAGCAAAAGGACCAACAACAGTGCGAATCGAAGGACCAAAATACAATATCGGTGTTGCAACAGGAATTTTTTAATAAGAAGGACCGAGACACTTTGAACTTCAAAATAAATGCACCTCAGAATGAAATAGTCGCGTTTGGTATTTGGGGCAGAATTTACACCAGGGACGTTGATCACAATAAGGAGGCTTCTCAAGAAGATATACAGAGCTTCAACACTCTCCTTGACGATATATTCAGTTCGGAATAATGTGATAGTCATAAACAAATAATTGTGCCATTTTTTTTATAACTGATGCTATTTGTGTTTATAATGTAGATTTTTTGCGGAAAGGAGGTCTGATACGTTGTTGTTATTGTATTTTTTATAAATAGTTTATAGTTTTTTTTTTATAACTTTAGCGAAGATAATAATATGTATGTATGTAAAGTCGTATAAGGTTTTAGTAAAATTATCTAGTTTTTGTAGGCCTATGAATTTTGTTTTTTTCACTGTTAATCTGATCATCTAGTTTTTGTTAAGAATTTAAAATTTTGTCGTTTAAGAATAAATAAACATTCGTATATTGTGTGATAATAATTGTGGTGATTGAAAGACTGATATACTGATTTGGATGATAGACCGAATTTAGATGTTACGAACAAAATAGATACTGAATAAAATTGTAAACATTTTTTTTTATTTTTTTTTTATTAAGGGGTTTTTATCTTTGATATGCCAACCCCATCATATATCTTTTAACAAAATGTAACTTATCATCATACATAATTAATACTTAACAAAAAGAAAGGAAATTGTATTACTCATCAAATACCTGTTGTGATTAGATTACAAAAATTTTTTGTGGTTTCTGAGCATGGTGCAGACAGAATTGACTGTAGTAAGCCTACATCCAGTTTATTAAGTTTTAGTTCTTTAATGAGTAATTCACGTTCCCGTTCATTCCGGACACAATCCATCAACAAATGCTGCATATCCTCATTTGTAAACTTTGTGATAACGAATTCTTCAAAAGAACTATGAAATTGGAGGAGTTTGATTGTAATTAGGTAATAAGTGTCATAATCGCTTGTCAAATATATGAATAATTAGCATATACGTAATAGTTATTATTTTGAATTCCAAAAAGAATAGAACAGTTTTTATCATAAAATAAATATAAACATTATGTACAAGAGATGTCACATGAATGTTATCTAGGTAAAATATTTTGATATTGTTACGAGCCTGACGTCACGTTCCTGACTATGCGGGCTTGAGTTACGGGATTGGATGAAATGAAACACTAATGCCGGTTTTCAGACTTTCTATTGCACTTAAGTTACAGCGTCCACGGAGTTAAGTTATCGGCGTTCCTCTCCAGCAGAGTCCGGCCGACTGACACAACTTTGCCGTTCACACTGACTTAACTCACTTAAGTGACTGCACTTCACTATTTCACTGCACTTCACTATTTCACTCACTTTTCTTCTTTTTCACTTCTTCCTTTTCTTCCGAATCGCTTTAGACTTAGAACTCAACTGCCAGCGGTGAGCCGCAGTTCTGCTTATATACCCCCGGTCAGGTTCTGGAACATTCAATTTCGTTATTCTTTTTGATCGTCATGCCTCCAGAACCTTCCAATAATTTCGCTATTCATTTTTATTTATTCTCCTTCTCACTCTTTAATTTTTCATCTCTTTCACACAAATAATTCCAGAAAGTTCGACAAAACTTCCATCAACTAAAAAACTTCATGTTTACGGCGGGACTCGAACTCGGGGTCTCTGTGGTGTAATCCACACGCCTTACCAATTACACCAACTCGTATTGACAATTCACGACGAAATTTACAATCTCTAGGCAACGTTTGACAACCATCCATTGACGTCATGATGTCAAAGAGTTTTCTGTCACACTGCCCCCCTCTTAGATTCGCTCGTCCCGAGCATCGTTGCTGCCGTAATACCTCGCCAACCTGTCTATATGGACAACTTTCAAAGGGCTCCTTGAAGACTTCCGAATTCTGTAAGTAATGTCATTGATCTTCGTGACTATCTCGTAAGGACCTTCCCAACTCGGTTGCAGCTTTGGAGATTTTCCCTTCCTTCTGACTGGATTATGAAGCCAGACCAATGACCCCTCTTCAAACCCAACAGAATTGGCTCGTCGATCATAGCGCGTCTTTGCGCGATCACTAGCTTGAAGACCGGCCTCCCTGATCTGCTCATAAATGTCCAACATTTTTGCCCTTAACTCGCTTATGTAATCGCTAAACTCGGTGCGAGAGTCACCAGGTGGACAGCCCGACACAAGATCTGCCGGTAATCTCAATTCCCTTCCAAAATTTGCAAATGCAGGCGTCTTTGCGGTACTTTCATGTACAGCAGTCCGATAGGCAAGCAAGAAGAGAGGTATGTAAGTGTCCCAATCTCTCTGATGGCTGTCAACCACCTTTGCTAAGTGTCGCTCCAATGTTTGGTTGAAGCGTTCGACCATTCCATCTGACTGTGGATGATAAGGGGTCGTTCGAGTCTTATGGATTCCCAAAAGTTTACAAGTTTCCTGGAAAACTTGGGATTCAAAGTTCCGTCCTTGATCACTGTGCATCTCCAAGGGCACTCCGAATCGGGTGAATACCTCGTTTACCAACTTCGTGGCTACAGTTACTGCCTCTTGATTCGGTATGGCAAAGACCTCCGGCCATTTTGTAAAATAATCCATAACCACTAAAACGTAGCGATTGCCCGAATCAGTGATTGGAAATGGTCCAGCGATGTCTAAGGCTATTCTCTCCCAAGGCATACCAACATTGTAGATTTTCATCGCCCCTCTGCTTCTTGTTTGTGGACCCTTGACAGCTGCACAACTAGTGCATTTCCGGCACCAATCTTCGACGTCATATTTGCAATGCAACCAGTAAAACCTCTCCTTGATCTTCACCAAAGTCCTCCTAATTCCCAAATGTCCTCCAGAAGATCCATCATGGAACGCTTTTAATACATCCCTTATTTTTGAACGAGGCACCACCAATTGCAAATGCTCGTCCTTGCCGTTTGTTGATTCCCATTTCCTGCACAGAAGTCCGTTATGCAGCGTAAGGCTTTTCCACTGTGCCCATAAACCTTTCGTTACCGCGCTATATTGGGCGACGTCACTCCAACTTGGCTTGTTACCACTTCGTAGCCACTCCAGTATTGGTTTAATATCTGCATCTCTTTCCTGTTCTAATTTCATCGCATCATTTCCCCATGCCTCGTCAACAGTATCAGTCCTTATCACCTTAAGAAAAGCAGTTTCCTTCTTAGCACAATGTTTGCAATCTTCCACGCATGGGCGTCTCGATAATGCATCTGCGTTGCCATGAATTCTTCCGCCGCGATGTTCGATTTCAAAGTCAAATTCCTGAAGTTGTTCCAGCCATCTGGCTACTTGGCCTTCGGGATCCTTAAACTGAAGCAGCCATTTCAAAGCAGCGTGATCAGTTCTGATCAAAAATTTCCGTCCCAGTAAATACTTCTTGAAATGGTGCAGGGTTTTGACTACGGCCAGCAATTCCCTCCTGGTCACGCAATAATTCCTCTCTGGCTTGGATAGTGACTTGCTGAAGTAAGCAATAACCTTCTCCTGCTCACCATCGCGTTGTGAAAGGACACCTCCTATTCCAATATTGCTGGCATCCGTATCAACTACGAATATTCCTTTCGCGCTGGGATATCCGAGAATTGGTGTGTTACAAAGCCGTTCTTTTAGTTCTCGAAAGGCTTGCTCACAATCCTCGTCCCAAACAAAGGCACGTTTATCCTCTGTCAATCGATGCAATGGCTTGGCAATGTCCGAGAATCCTTTCACAAACCGCCGATAATACGAGCACAATCCAAGAAATGCCCGAACTTGCGTTTTGTCTTTAGGTGTTGGCCATTCCTTGACAGCGACAGTCTTGGCTGGATCAGTCTCAATTCCTCTCTCAGAAATAACATGACCTAGATAATTCACTTCGCGCTTGAAGAAAGAGCATTTCTTTGGACTCAACTTTAAATTTGCTCCACGCAGCTTGTCGAGTACCTTTTCCAATTTCCTTAGATGATCGTCAAAATCCCGTCCAACAATGATGATGTCATCGAGGTAAACTAGGCAGGTTTCGCCCAGCAGTCCCGCCAGCACCTGTTCCATCAAACGCTCAAAAGTTGCCGGTGCATTGCATAATCCAAATGGCATCACCTTAAATTGCCAGAGTCCCTTCCCAGTTGAGAATGCGGTCTTTTCCTTGTCCTTGGGATCCAAATCCACCTGCCAATAGCCGCTTTTCAGATCGAGCGTTGAAAACCATTTCATGCCACTCAATGTGTCAAGTGTGTCATCGATTCTTGGTAACGGGTAGCTATCCTTCTTGGTTACATCATTCAATCGTCGATAGTCTACGCAAAACCTCGTTGAACCATCTTTCTTCTTGACAAGCACGACAGGTGAACACCAAGGGCTAGAAGAGGGCTCTATCACGTCATTTTTCCTCATATCGTCAATCATTTCTTCAACCTCTTTCTCACGAGCGAATGGTATGCGTCTGGGCCTTTGACGAATTGGCATTGTATCACCTGTGTTTATTTTATGCTTCACCAAACCAGTTCGGCCAATATCACCATCGCTTCTTGAAAACACATCAGAGAATCGAAGAAGTAAATTTCTAGCTTTCATAGTCTCCACTTTTGTCAGACTTTTGTTTTCGTCTAAGATTTTCGTTACAAAGTCAATTCCCGTACTGTCCTTCTTCACAAGATTCTCCGAGCATTTTCTTATCCAGGCCACTTCTTCCAATACGCCCACAGGCTCTCCTTCTTCAATCGTAATTTTTGAATCACTGAAGTTGAATACCGGAATGCGGTTGACATCAGATGATCCCACGACAGTTCTTGCCGGTAGCCATGAGCTTACGTGTTCCGATTTATCAATCACAGCGCACCTTCGAGGTAAACTTCCTTCCTTCCTCCTAGGTAATGCGATTGGTACGAGAGTCTGTGATTTTGGTGCAAGAACAGTTCTTCTTAAACAGCAAACTTTTCCCAGGGTTCCACCCTTCATCGGAATTTCCTCAGTTCCACATAGTAAAACTCCAGATTTTAAGTCGATGTTACACTGGTGCCCTTGCAGGAAGTCAAGTCCCAGGATGCAGTCATCCAGAATTTTGGCCACAATAACCTCATGTCGATAAACACGTTCCCCAATTTTGATTGTTACATGCAGTTTTCCACTTATCGGTATGCACTGGCCGGTAGCTGATTTCATTTGTAGGCCAACAATTGGTTTAAGGTGTTTCCTGATGTTTTGCTCGAGCAGCCGAACATTTATCACCGTCCTTGAAGCTCCAGTATCTAATGTTAGCTGACTGTTTTTCCCATTTACTTGACCGTCTATCACCAGAGTATTTCCATCGTTGGTTTGCTTGATGTAGATTGTTGGGGTTGTTCCACTACCAGCCAGCGCCCACCCCGCAGCCCTGGCTGGATTTAAGTTTCCCTGCTGGTCAGAAGTTGAGACCGCCGCGTCCTGGCGGTTCATCTTCTTCGGGCAGTCGCTCCGTATGTGCCCACGCTCTCCACATCCATAGCACATGAAGTTCCGACGGCGTGGAGGTACCTGCTCCGTTGTCGTCATTTCCCGCAGACGTAAGGTACGGGAGTTACCACGCACGGCTTCCACTTCCAATGCATGGGCCAGAGCTTCTTTCATGTTCTTGTGATGGCCCAGATGAACAGCGGCTCGTACTTCGGGGTCCCGAATACCGTCAATGAACGCTTGGAGAAGCGTGCCTTCAATCATTGACGGAGTCGACCGGAAAGCTCGACGCACAAGTTTCTCGATTTCCACGGACCATTGCTGTAGGCCCTCATTAGCACGCTGAGTACGCTCTTTTAATTGCGCTCTGTACACGTGCTCGAGGTGGCTGTCTCCAAAACGTGCCTCAAGTGCGTCGAGGAGGGCACTAAAGCTGAGATCCCCACTTGCGCCGATAGCTTCCAGCACTGAGAGCGCTTGATCACGGAGGGCCAGGATAAGGGCTGACTGTGCTTCCTTCTGAGTCCAACCATAAGCCTCCATAAGTGTCTCAAACTGTAGCTTGAACGCGGTCCAGGATGTTGTTCCGTCGTAATGGGGAATCTTAAGCCCTTTCGTTGCACTTGAAGCCGCATTCGGGGCTTCAAAAACGGCTGCAAGACGGCTTCGGCTCTTCAAAGGGCTT